CAAGTATTGCCTCCCAATAGGAACGAAGAAAGTTCCTATGGCGAGTTCCTATGGCGAGAAAGTTCCTATGGCGAGTACTCAGTGGTGATAATGTCATTTGATGCTGCTTGAAGTATTACTTAGTTCATTCTGTGTGTGTGTATTCTAAAATAAATATATAAAGCAATTTTATAACACAAAATCACAGCAATGAAACAACTAAATCCAACAAAACAAAAGGGTTGCATCCCTTTCAACCACCCCACTTTCCTTCCTGAAGACAAGTCCTTTAGCATTCCAACTCCAGATGTTCCTGGGACTATTAGAAAAAGAAAATGAACTGAACAAATACAGTATGATCTGGAGGTTCAAGAGAAAAGGTTGTGGTGGAAAGGGGAAAATCCAGCATAGTGCATCCTTCCCAAACAAACCACATCCTATTCTTTGACAGATAATTTTGGTTCCTAAACCACACAGTAAAAGATGCTGCAGGGGAGAGAGGCTCATTGTTGGCCTCCATAAAGGCCTTCCACTTGGCCTGGTTGGCATTTGTTGAGTCTATTTAAGGCTGCTGCCCCTCACATTGTGTCTTTATTGATTTCTGCCTATCCCATACTGTATCTGTTGGGACAATTGGCTTGAGATGGTGTTGATAAATAGGTCTCCTTGGCAAGTAGTTGGAGAGAAGATATTAGATAGGTGTACACCTTTGCACCCCAGGGTTGGTCTCTGGAATTGATTCTACAGAGCATGAGATTGGGGTGTGTGGGAAGGAAACTGCCCTTGGGGCTGATTTGGGTTTACTTTCTCTTATAAAGTCATGGACTTGGGAGGGAGATCTCCAGGTTTTGGCCTTTCAGAGATGACTGGCCAATCTCTTAGGTTTGCCCTTGGGGTCTGGTGTTTCACCCAAGGGATAGCTGGAGAGGTGTCAGAGGCTGACATCTGACCTCAGTTGGCCCCAAACCAAGTTGTTCTCCCCTTGTATATCAGGACTTAAACAGTTAAATAGGTTACAGGTCAATAAAATAGCCCTTGTTTAATCCAACTAATTGTGTCTAGTCTTGTTATTTCATCATTGGTCAACAATTCCTGATGGGAAAATAGTAGGAAGTTTTTCATCATACCATAAATGAGTTTTCTTTCAACCTTAGAAGAATGCTACTATGTTGGCAGTACCAAGGTCCTTTCCCCCAGCCCTCACAATGAGCTGTGATAAGTAAGTGAATGCACCTTGCATAAAATTATTGCTACATCTTTGTACTTTCTATATTTATTTGGAAACACTCAGTATAAGCCTACCCAAGCTATTGCAAATAGGAATATTAATTCCTTCTATTTCCTCCCTTTCATTACCACAAACAATGGCAGACACTGCCTTAAGTGCACAAGGATTACCCATCCCTGAAAGTGTCCCTTCATAAAATACCTAGAAATATTCTCCTTCCTTTAAAAAAGGCTTCCTGTGTCATTAAAGTCAAAGTCACAGAAAGATAAATATATACATAATCAGTACAAAGGCTAGATAATGGAATGTATTGTCTAGGGCACAGGCAGAAAATGGGGATTTTTTCTTTAAATCAAAGTCACAGTGGAGGAAAAGATCAAGAAATGATTGTTTTGTACAAGGATAACTTTTGGAGTTCCATACAATTCTACAGCTTTATTTTTAAATATATATTTGACATGGAGTGACTTTTGTTTTGGAACAAGAGGTTCATAGTAATATGGAAAAGCAAAAATAATACTAGAACAAGCCTCATCTCTAGATTCTGAGCTCACTGCCATGATGTAATTTGTCTTGCACGGAGATTTCAGTTTTCAACAAGTAGAGCTGTTTATTTCATGGATCAGGTGCAGGGAGATACCTGCTCCCAAAACTGGAGGTGCCTCCCACTCGATCTCCCAGTGGCTCATTCAGTAAAATAAAAGGCCAGTTTTAAATATCTCATTCTCAAGGCATTACATGATAAACCATCTCTTTCAGGGATAATGGACTCTAATCCTTGTAACAAGGTACTTAAGCCAATGTCTGTCATTGTTTGCAAAAATGAAAAGGAAGAGAGGGAAGGTAAACATTGCTAATGGTGAGCCACAAAGAAGACTTATTTATCATTAGCAGTTTGGAGTGTTCAATGTACTTCACATGGTACTTCACAGCCAGTGATATGCAAACAAGCCTGTAGAGTGCTATTACTGTCTACACTGCAGATAGATTAAAGCCTGAGACTAAAACATAGAGATTAGTTTAAAGCAGAGTCAATTGCAGGGCTCTGAAACCCATGGCAGGATGCCATCCTGGTTCAGATATATTCTAGTATCTGATCATCTGATTGTGTGACCCCTCTCAGTAGCTGCAGGTATGATCATCACCTTTCTTTTTGAAAAAGGCAATGCAGTTACTAAAGTAAAGGCAAAGGTAAAGGTTTTCCCTTGACAAGATTGTCAGCCTAAGGGGAAGACACTTTCATTACAACCAGCATGAAGGTGACCAAAACAGCAAAGGACAGACAGATTGCTCTGCCTCTCCTTATCCAGCCAATTTCCTAATTACTTGGAAGGAATTCACCTGCACTGAATTTTGTGTCACCAAATGCAGCCAACCAGACAAGAGGCATGTGTTTTACATCTTGAATGAACACACGTTTATCATTTGATCAGTGGCACAGCCCATAAACAGACATAGGAATTATGCAGCCCTCCAGATGTTGTTGGATTTTAGCTTGCAGCAGCCAATAATGAGGAATTTTGGAAGTTGTATTCCACACCAGCATCTGGAGGGATCTATTTATGATTCCCAAACTTGATTTTTCTCCCTCCATTTGGGCCCTGGACTGAGCAAATATTACCATTATTTCAAATGAGTAGAACTGAATTATTTCAGTCTTTATTCACAATGACAAAATTGGAGAATAAAACTAGTGTGAAAGAGCAATTAACTCTCATTGCCTAACCAAGATAACTATTTAAGATAAAATGCCTGCATATAAATATTACACATTAAAAATGTGAAAGTACCTGAACAGATGACACCAGCATCTTCACCATGACCACAGTTGTGTGATCCCCAGATCCTGCTAGGACATTCCCAAAGATAGGATTCAGTCCCATTGCAATTAACATCATCCAAGTGAATAAGACCAGATCCCTGACCAAAATGTGCTGATCCTAGAGCTGAGACAGCTGGTCCACATCCAAGCTGCCTGCATACAACTCCTGCATCAATGATGTCCCATAAATCATCACAGACTGTCCCCCATGTTGAGTTAATACGAATTTCAACACGACCCTCACAGCTATGACGTCCATTCACCAACTGAAGGCCTTGAAAAAAGACCAAAAGTATGTTGTTTGTTAATGACATTTATACAGTTTGTCAACTGACATCTTTAGACAGTTTCAAGAGAGCTGTCAAGACGGATCTCTTCCGGCAGGCCTTTCCAGACTAAATTACTCGGCCTTGGGATTTTGGGATTCTGGGACCTGGGATTTCTCTTTCAAGATCATTTCTACAGCCCCTGTTAGTATAAAGTTGCATGGGACTGTCGGTTTTATCCAATTGTTTGTTTATTGTTATATTTGAACTAATTACTGCTTTTAATTGATATCTAGTTTAATTGATTTTTAAGGGGGGGAGGGAGTTTTGTTATTTAAATTGTATGTATTTTAGCTTTGTAAACTGCCTAGATTGGTTCGCCACCGGGCGGTATATAAATACATTTATTATTATTATTATTATTATTATTATTATTATTATTATTATCATCATCATCATTATATAAATGGATTTTTGACAGTTTTGAGTTCTCCTTTCAAAGACAAGATTCTGAATTATAGATAATACAAAATTAAGATTCTAGATTCTATTCCTATAATGTACATGGTTTTCCAGGGGGGGAAATTTAATCAAAATCAAACTGTACTCTCACACAGGAATGAGTGTGTGAATCTATGTGTAAACATACTCACCAAGTGTGCCAGAAAATGAAGAGTAGAAGGCAGAAAAACCAGAATACGCTACTGAAGAGTCACTGTGAAATTGCACAGTGAGGATATTTGATGTAGAAATCAATGTTACAAAGGAACCTGAGCAATATCTTCCAAGGACAGGTGAATAGAGATACCCATCATGGACTTCCACATAATCAAATCCACATTCTGTTCTGGAATAAAAACAAACAACCTCTGTGACTACTCAACTACACTACTCAACACAAAAACTGAGTAGGTTGGTCCATTACAGCACATATTCTGTACATCATTGGAGAATACAGTGTTATTACATTTACATTAGTAAATTAAGGGTTCAATTGTTTAAACCTGGGAAGTTAGCTTAATGACAAATGGAATCAGCAGGTGTCCTTCTTCATGAACAGATGGGAAAGCCTCTCTATCATGGTAGAAAGATCTACCACTGTCAATGTGCTTCACATGATAATGTGTAGCAATGGGACTGAATGACATATTCAGGCTATTATACTGGCCGAACGGCTGTAATAAAATGATTTGATTTGATATTCAGGCTATGTCAAAGGGATCTACTGAGTCCACAGACTCAAATAATCCTATCTGCTGTCATCATCACCACCACCTTGAAAAAAGTTTTAAAAGCTACACTAGTTTTGGAGAGAGAAGCAGCATGGTGTAGTAGTTTGAACATTGGACTGTGACACTGAAGACTAGGGTTCAAATCCCTGCTCGGCTACAAAAACCCACTGTGTCAACTTGTGAGAGTCACACTCTCCCAGCCTCAGAGGAAGGAAATGTCAAAACAAAAACCCTCTGAACAAATTTTGGCCAAAAAACCCCCCAGTGATAGATTCACCATTAGGGTCACCATGAGTTGGAAACAACTGAGACACCCAACAACAAAAACAACAACAATTCTATATACACCCCCATAAAAAAAAAAACAAATTAGCAGTGCCATGTGACTGCTTTGAAGACAGAGGGAATGCAAGAGAAAAATAATGTTTAAATGTGTACTTGAATTAAACAACAGCAGACGCTTTGGAGCTGTGTACTTTTTTGTCTTCATAATTATGAATAGGAGAAAAAACGTTAAAAGGCTAAATTAGGTAAGTAGGTGAGAATTCCACACACAGCAGTTTCCCTACCACAGTTTCTCACTATCATGCCATGACCACATCCTCCCCAAGGTTATTTTCCCCTCTATATGCGTATTCCTTGCAGTCAGGGAAAATGTCAGTTTATGTTTATGTTCACAGGTCATGATCAGTCAAGAAAATGCAATTTTGAAAATATCTCTCTAAAAGCCTCTTCCTAAGGAACATGGATTATAAATTCCATTCAAAGAGGCCTATCCATAAGTAAATCCTACTCATTAATAAAGTACATATTAGGCAAAGGCCCAAGATAAATAGACTTTTCATAAAGACATGTATCTGAGGACGCGGAATTAAGTCCACAAAAGCTCATGCTACCAGTTTCTTTCTTTTGATTAGTCTCAAAGGTGCTACAAAATCCTTTTGCATATAGACTTTTCATTAGACAGAATTAATGAAGTAGAAATGTTATTGATTTAAAATGATGTTGTCTTTTAAAGGATGATGTGCAAAATGAACAGATAAATTGCAGGAGTTACAATAATTTCTACCAGTGATTTCTCTTGAAATAAAAACAGTAACAGAAGATTAGAAGATGACTGTGGCTGGAAATTTTAGGGTTATTGATGAGAAAATGAGGAAAAACACTAGTTAAAATGGAACTGGCAACCAGCTTTCTAGTGATCCCCATTTTGAGGAATGCTGGGGAGGGGAAAACATAGTGCATAGGTCTGTGTCCAATACTTGTTTAGAAAATTGTACAAGGAGTAGGAGAAGTAGGCAGTGGTGAACAAAATCATCACCATCACCATCATTCTTATGGTATGATTTGATTAAGATAGCCCAAAATCATAATTTTAAATATCTTGAAACATTGAAATATTTCTAAGGACTGGTAAGGGTTCTCTGTTCCTTCTAGAGACAAAATTACTAGACTCTATAGCTTGTTTATTACTCCCTTTATTAATAAAGTAAGTGTGCCACAGACAGATACTAAAAGCATAAATTGGCAAGGGGCAGATTAGGAAGGATTAATAATAATAATAATAATAATAATAATAATAATAATAATAATAATAATAATATTTTTTTTATCCCGCCCTTTGGGAATCCAATCAGGGCAGCTTACAACAGTTAAAAAGATACATAATATCCAAAACAATCCCTCCCCCCTTAAAACAGCATTAAATCAAAAGGGATTAAAACAGTAATTCCAATAATATAAAATTTAAAAACACATTTAAAAAGAGATATAACAAGGCACAGCTTGACCAGATCTCCTAGCTTTACTAACCCCACTGCATTCATACACTCACTCACTCACACACACACACATTTCACTAATAATAATAATAAAATTTATATTTACCCCACCCCTCTGTCAAACAATCAGGGCAGCTTACAACAATTAAAATCCATACAAATCCAAAATAAACATCTCCCACCCCTCCTCCCATTAAAACAGTATTAAACTACACATCCATTAAAAGACTTAGCATAAAATATCAAAAAATACAATAAAACAATTGAAAAGACTACAACAACCAACAACAAACAGAGGGAGAGCCAAAAACTAAAATGGTAAAGACATACAGACTCCTGAAGCCGAGAATCTAATCAGGAAAGGCCTGCCAAAAGACATCTGTCTTCACAGCCTTTTTAAAGCTGGTTAAGATCATGATCTGATGGATCTCATCTGGCAGGCCGTTCCATAATCTAGGGGTGATTACCGAAAATGCCCTCTGGGAGGTTGCTGACAGACTAGATTTCGTTGGTTGGAGCAAATTTCTCCCAGAAGACCAGAGTGCATGGGGAGGATTGTATGGGAGAAGGCGATCCCGAAGATATGTTGGACCCAAGACATTTAGGGCTTTAAACACCTTATACTGGGCCCGGAAACTAATATGCAGCCAATGGAGAGATTTTAATACCAGAGTTATGTGGCTTCTCCTAGATGTTCCCGAGACCACTCTGGCTGCCATATTTTGGACTAACTGAAGTTTCTGAACCAAGCACGAGGGTAGCCCCATGTAGAGCGCATTACAGAAATCCAGACTGGAGCTTACCAGTGCGTGCACCACAGTCTCAAGATCCCTTACTTCCAGGAAAGGGCACAGCTGGCGTATCAGCCAACGCTGATAACAGGCACTCTTGACCACCACATTCACCTGATTAGTCATCAAGAGCGACGGATCAAGGAGCACCCCCAGACTGTGAACACAGTCCTTCACGGAGAGTATGACCCTGTTCAGGACTGGAGATTGTAACCCAATTCCTGGTTTTGCGGCTGCTACTGTGAGCACCTCCGTTTTGTCTGGATTTAATCTCAATCTGTTTTTCCTCATCCAACCCGTTACAGCCTTAAGACAGTCATTGAGAGGAGAGATGCAATGGGGATTCAAGGCCAACGATTGAGACACGGAGAAATAGATCTGGGTGTCATCAGTGTACTGATAACACCCAGCCCCATGTCTCCAAATGATCTCACCCAGCAGCTTCATATAGATGTTAAACAGCATCGGGGACAGAATGGCACCCTGAGGGGCACCACATGTAAGATCTTTTTTTGCCAAACAACTGTTCCTGAGTAGCACCCTCTGGGACCTGCCCAAGAGGAAGAAGTGGAACCAATGCAGTGCCTCCAACTCCTAACCCACTCAGGTGATCCAAGAGGATGCTATGATCTACCATTTCAAAAATTGCTGAGAGGTCTAAAAGCACCAGCAGGGTCACACTACCCCTGTCGATACTCAGACTCAGGTTGTCAGTTAAGGCAACCATGGCAGGCTCAACTCCAAATCCTGTCCTAATGGGTTTGAAATGGGTCTAGATAATCGGTTTCATCCAAGACTACTTGAGTTGAAGAGCAACCGCCCTCTCGATCGCTTTGCTCAAGAAAGGTAACATAGACACCAACCTATAGTTGTTCATATCCAGGGGGTCCAGGGAAGGTTTCTTTTAGAAGCAGCCTGACTGCCACTTCCTTTAAACAAGATGGAACGCACCCTTCCCTGAGGGATGCATTCATGATGTCCTTAAGGAACATCATCAAGGCACCACCACCCCAGACAGCCAGCCATGAAGGGCAAGGATCCAGGTGCCCTCTAAGCCACATCTATGATTTAAGAATGAGTGGATGGCATGCAAAGTTCTGTCAAAAGAGTGTGGGAGGAAAGAGGACATTTCTCAGCTTCCTGTTCCTTCAGTAAACCCTATAAAAATTCAGAGGTATAATCTGATTTTATAATCTGATACTCTGAAAGGAAACCATAATAGGAAGTAATGGTAAAAGGTAAATGTAGTCCCTTGAAATAAATTTTTAGTCGTAGACAACTGTAGGGAACAGTGCTCATCTCTATTGCTAAGCTGAAGAGTCAGTGTTGTCCTAGGACTTCTTTGGAGGTCATGTGGCCAGCATGACTGCACCAAACACTGTTACCTTCCACCAACGTGGTACCTATTCATCTACTTGCATTTGCATGCTTTCAAACTACTAGGTTGGCAGAAGCTGAGACTAGTGACAGGAGCTCACCTCATCATGCAGCACTTGGGCCTTGAACTGCCAACCTTCTAATCTTCCAATTGTCAGAATTGTTTTCTTAACTACTAAGTCACTGCATCCCTTAATACGAAGTAGAACAGTTCATTAATGGATAAAGTTAATTTGCTGCCAAGTTTCCCTAAAAAATGCCATAGATGTCTACTTGTTCCTTTTCTCAAAGGGTAGCCTAGTACCAACCAGAGTCTAGTAAGATTTCTCCTCCCATTCACAGACCCCCACAGATACATTAACTGCCATGCTTTCTGGTCATTAAAGTAAAGCTATGTAAGTGAGCTATGTCCTCAGATGGCATAACTCCAACTTCTTGTATTTTAGATGTAATTCAGATGGAATTGTAAAGAAGAATTTAGTTGTAAAGTTAGTTCTCTTCCACTTACTGAATAGTTGTAAATGTAAGACGGATTCGGTAACCACTCCAGGTTCTTATTGTCCATGTACAGTTTGCACCATTTGGATAACTTCCAGGATATGAGGGAGAACTGAGTGACCCTGATGAGTATGGAAGCTCACTTCCACAATTATAATTAGCTGTGAAATTTTAAAAAACAGTCAAAGATGCAATGGCATTACACACAAACAACCACAGAGTGCATGGATCTCAATCACATCAACTGTAAAGGGCATCCTGAGCTGCTGAACTGGACAACACAAATACAAAAAGATGTAGTGGTGGCAGCTTTATCATTCTGGAATGTAGCACAGGGTCAAAGGATGTGGTCTATTACACTCATTTCTGTGAATTTACCTCTCCTGTAGAAGAATGGAATTTGGAGAAGAGAGGTCCTTAACCCTATCCATCTTAGATATTTTCTTTACTGAAAATGCCCCCACAAGCTCCTCACCCCACACTCTGTTATACCCAGAGAGGGAAACATGCTGGCCCATATCTTCCCCTATGGAGAAACAAAATACTTTGGAAGGACTATGTTGAGCAGATGAATAGATAACAGGGGAAATACTGAATAGCCTCTTGCTTTCAGTCAGGAGATTTGATGTGACATGGTTACTTGTAAGGATTTGGCTGTCTGTGACATTAACTCAACAAATTAGGGGGGGGGAATATTCCCTGGGTACTTA